GGCGCCGGAACCGCACCGGGCCCCGGCGGAAGCGGGAGCGGGACGAGGCGGAACCGAGCGGACGCGGCGCCGCTCCGGTGTCGTGTTCCGTCCCTGCTGCGCTCCGGTCCGGGCGGTCTCTCCCGCTCTAGGGACCTCTATGGCTCCCCATGATCCCCCATATATCCCCTATGGAGCCATGTACACCCACTATGGATACCCATAATCCCCTATATATCCCCATGATCCACCTATATCCCCTATATATCCCCATGATCCACCATTTATATCCCCTGTGGACCCCCTGTGCATCCCCATGACCCCCTATATATCCCCTATAGAGCCATATATATTCCCTATGGAGTCCCTATGCACCCCCATGGCCCCCTATATATCCCCTGTAGAGCCATATATATCCCCTATGGACTCCCTGTAGATTCCCCTATGCATCCCCATAGTCCTCTATACAGGCCCTATAGATCCCCATAACCCTCTGTACCTCCCCTATAGAGCCCCTTATGGATCCATATTACACCTTATACATCTATAGACCCCTGTGCACCCCCATTGGCTGTCTATACATCCCCTATCGACCCCCTATGTATCTCTATTACGCCCTATGTATCCCCTATAGACCCTGTGCACCGCCATGGGCTGCCTATGCTTCCCATACAGATTGTAATGCACCCCACAGACCCCCTATGCGTCCCCATAGATCCCCTATATGTTCCCTATAGACCCCAGCACACCCCCCATGCATTCCCTGTCGACCCCATGCACCCTCATAAACACCTTTATACAGTCCCTATAGGCTCCAGTGCATCCCAAACACCCCATACATCCATACACAGACCTCAGTGATCCCACATACCCTCTATACATCCCATGTAGATCCCAGTGCAGCCTAGATATCCCCATACATCTACAGACACCTCTACATCCCAAAACACTCACTACATATGCCCTATAGACCCAAGTGCATCCCCCTAGATGTCCTGTACATCATCTATAGACTCCCAAGCACCCCCAGCCACCTCCATGATCTATAGAACCCTACTGCACCCAAACATCCCTACAGTCCTGATACATCCCCTATAGACCCCCAGTGCAACCCAAATGCCCCCTATACTCCCTCCATAGCTCCCAAAGCACACCAAGCACATCCTATACATCCCCTATAGATCTCCGTGCACCCCTATACAGCCCATAGATCCCAGAGAACCTCCTTTACACCTGTTATATACCCTCTTTGCATCTCCATGCACCCTGTTACAGACTCCAGACCACCCCTATACATCCTGTGTGCACTGCTATACATCCCATATTAACCTGAGCACCCCATTACATCCCAATGCACCCCTCTGTGCATGCCTATATGTGCCCTATAGACCACCTGTGTAGCCCTATGCACCATTTACCCCTATAGACACCCAGAGCATTTCCATAGACCTCACAGTACCCCTATAGACTCATTATACCCCCACAGTCCCCCCCCACACCCCTAATGCACCCCCTAGAGATCCCCCTGTGCACCCATATACAGCCCCCATAGAACCCACATAAAACTCTCCATAGGATCCCCTCTGCCCTGCCATATGCCCTGGTGCCAAGAGGAGACCGTATAGACGCCTGCACGGTGTTGGGAGGACCATATACAACCCTCTACACAGCTTGCCCCTGTATAAGCATGGGAGCACCATATAGACACCTTTCTATGACCCTATACATCCCACATGGCCGGGAGTGACCACATACACCCTACAGAGCCTGCATGATACTGAGGGGACATATACAGACCCCACTGAGCCCCATATAGCTTGCACAGACTTGGGGGCAGACCATACACACCCATACCATATAGACACCATTATATAGCCCTGTGTTGTATAGCTGCCCCCCCCATCCAGCCCTATGGCCCCTCACCCACCCCAGGGGGCCCCTACAGCCCCCCTTTTTTTCCGGGGCCGGAGGGGGAAGGCAGCGAGTGGCTGCACCAGGCCGGGTGCCCCGCCAGGGGACCACGATCCGCTCCAGAGTGAACAGCCCGTGGTTGTGGGGCACAGAGACGCCAGGCAGGGACAGTGGCCATACGTAGCTTTATTCACACAACATGGAGTCGCCTCTATAGGTCCATGCTCGGTAATTACAGAGTTCGTGGGGCGCGCGGGGACCCCCCGCCGCCGCCTCGCGGGGGGCCCGGCGCTCGCCTGGGGCTTCCTTTATTTCCCATTGTGTTTTATTTATTTATTTATTTACTTTTAAAACCATTTTTTGATAATAAATAAAAACCTCCAGTCTAGAAAGAAAAAAAAAACAATCAAAATATATAAAACCTAGGGGGAGGAAAAAAAAAAAAAAGAAACTTAACGTTTATGACAATGAGGATGCAATTCCGGACATCCGGCACCGCTTGGCGTGGCAGCACCGGGCAGGGGGTGAGCCCACGGAGTAGGGAGATATTATATATATCTTTTTATTTTTGTTTAAAAAAAGGGGGGGAAAAGAAAAAAATAAAGGAAACTGCGACAAAATTCCCTGTTCGCATGGCGGGCGCCTGGCAGAGCACGGAACTTGGGCGGCCCCGAC